CGGGGCCCGGGCGAGCAGAGCCTCCGCGCCGGGGCGGCGCTCTCCTCCCTGTCCCCGCAGAGGTGCGCTTCTCCAACTGCTCGGCGAACAACGGCGGCTGCTCGCACTACTGCCTGGAGGGGGATGGCGGGCGCCGCTGCAGCTGCGCGCCCGGCTACCGGCTGGGGGAAGACCACCGGCGGTGCGAGCCCCAGGGTGAGCCCCTGATGGGAGGGCAGTGAGTGAGCAGCACCGTAGCGTCCCAGTGGGAGGAGCCCGTGGTCGTGCCCGCGGCGGGTCTCCTGCTGGCTCTTTCCTGGGCTTGCCCGCCTTCCTCCAGGTGCGCCGCTCACCGTGGGGACGCCTCCTGGGGCAGTAGCACAGAGGAAGCTCATCTCCCAAAAGGAAGAAACGATGTAGAGGGCCAAGCATCTTTCTCCATCTATCGTGGATGGCTTTATTTCCCTCTTTACCTCCGACTTCTCCGAGGAGAGACAGGAAGCGTGATTCTACCTTCTTTTCTGTTTTCCTTTTTATACATGTTAATTGCTATCACATTCATATATGTACACAACAGTCAGGGGTTTACAGCTCTTGCGATGAATTTCAGCAGGCTGATCCTCTTTCATTCATTGCGCGGTGCCTTCGGTGGACCCTTTTAATGTGGAAATTCCCATCTCCTACCTCTTGGAACGTTTCTCTATGTCTGTGATCACCTGGCCTTCGCTTTCTCTGTTCCTCTTTCTGCACCTTCTAATCAGATCTCTTCTGGATTGACCTTCTAGTTTCATTATCTCTTCTATTTTACATCTCTTTGACTTGGTGATCTTCTTTCAGCGAACTTTCCACAACTTTATATTCCAAACATTTAACTGAAAAAAAAATTAGCTTTTCATTTGGAAATAATTAGAAATTCACAGGAAATTGCAAAGAAATGCCTGGTGGACCTCTTAGCCCGTAGGCTTCCCCGTGAAGCCATCTGAAGCCCAGGTCACTGGCAGAACCCCTGATGTCCAGCTTCTTAGATCTTTAGGCCACTTTCTGAGAGCTCGTGCTTGGGTGGCCCCTGCCTGGCTTCCAGCCCCTTGGAGAGGGTAGGGAGAGAAGCTGGCATCTGCTTGATCTGCAGGTGTCTATACGACTCCTGGTCAGCCTTGCATGTCACTAATGATGGTGTCTGGAGTCCCCAGGTCACGGTCTCTGGTTCACCCTCTGCAGAAGACACACCTGTGGTCTTCTGCAGAGGTCACAGAGAGTCAAGCCACCGATGAGGAGTTGAGGCAGAAGTCTAGGGCTCTAGCAGTTTCTTCTACAAACTCTCAATATTTCCTGTATGGTCCCCGCTGCAGTGCATCCTCAGAGACCCACGGAGGCCTCCAGGCTTCTGTGGTGTCAAGCAGGCTGCTCTTGGCATCTGCTACTGGAAGTTGAGGTTTCTGCTTTGTCAGTCGGCCAAGTCAGTTACAGTGGCCATCTGCTCTCCAGCTTCTAGAATTTTGTCGCTGCTGTCTCCATGTTCTGTCCATTAGCAGTCCCCCTGCTGATGGTTTCCCATGGTTCCTACAAGTCCAAATCTCTCCATCCAGCGTGAGTGGTCCATCATGAGCAGGCCAGTTCTGTTCTGTGCTTTCTCCTCTGGGCAGAGGACCTCACAGCTGTACTCGGAGCTGCTTTGAGGCTCTCCAGGAGAGCCCACCTCCTCTTCCCACAAGTTCTTACCTCTGTTAGGAGCTTGGCAGCATCCCAGCAAGAGGCCTTACTTACTTGTCTCAGGGATTGCTCTCACCCATCTGGAAGTGTGTAACAGCCTGCCCAAGGGCACACTGCTGGGGAGAGAGGCTGCTTGGTCTGACACTTGCCATTAAGTGGCACTGTTGGTCAACTGACCATCCCGAGGGGGTGTGCTGGTTGATGGAATAGTGTCTAAGCATCATTTATCCTACAACACAGCAAACTAGGCTGCTGGCAGGAGATGCACAGAGGTGGTGGGGAGCAGTCTCGGGAGCAGGGCCTGGCACTCACCAGCCTCCCCTACCTTCAGTGACATTCCCCTGTGGGAGGTCAGGGAAGCGGATAGAGAAGAAACGCAAGAATGTGAAACGTGACACGGACCAAGGAGACCGAGAAAACCAAGAAGATCAAGGAGACCAAAAAAAACCAAGGAGACCAAG